GCATAGGAGGGAAATTTTGAAGCACGATACTGCCCAAGTTTCTCAATGGCCCGTTCCGTTGATCTCTGATGTGCTAAATCGCCTCCCTATCGGCTTTACGCTCAAGAAGAAAAAGACTCCAACATCGGATCGTATTCGCGAGGGGAAGAGATTGGATCAGCTCGCAGAAACGGTGGATCCTGTTGAAAAGAGAGCTTTGAAAGAACCTGTGGCTGCTCGTCGAATGCCAGAGGCTGCTGGAGCCAAGCGCGAAGCAGGTACTATTTTTGATTGCGGCTGCTGTTATGGCGAGTTCGCTCTCAATCGTATGGTCTGCTGCGAAAATGGGAACCACGTGAGAATATGATGCCCCGTTCTTTCAGACTGTTGCTGACCCTTCCAAGTTCTTCTGTGTCGATTGTGCACGCCGCAACGCCGAAACGGTGGTTGGCCTCTCCAAATTCGAGATCACCTGCATGTCCACGGATGGATGCGATGCTGGATTCGCCCATCAAGAACGCGCCAGATTCATTGACGATCGACTCAACCAAGCCCTGGATCGCATCGAATTCGAGGCTAATCTCCGAATGGCTGGCATCGACGGCTTGGCGACTTGTCCTTTCTGCCCTTATGCCGCCTAGTATCCATCGGTCGATATCAACAAGGAGTTCAAATGCGAGAACCCCGACTGCCACGTGGTCAGCTGCCGGCTTTGCGGAGAAGAAACACACATACCCAGAGCTTGTGCAGAAGCTGCTACTGATAACATCACGGATGCTCCATTTCGGTTTAATTTATGGGTGCACTGTGACACTCCCCTTGGCGTACCCGCTTCAGATCTTCCTTTGCCTGCTTCGACCCGTAAATTCAATCTTGTCTATGCTGCGTACATCAAGAGGTAGACCTTTCGAACGAACCGGCGCTGGAGCAGAAATCGTAGCAGTCTTCGGCCTCTCCACGGTTTCAGATTATGACAGTCGATGTATAGTCAGAAGGCAAATAATCAGATAGTGCACTTTTGTCGAACCTGTGACACTGGACAACGAGCGCATCTTGGGCTATAACATACACCACAAGATTCGACTATTAAGGGCATCCCTCCAGTACCGCAACTGCACTGATGTTATGTATTAGTCCCTGTCGACGGGTGTTTTGTCTCCAGGCACTCACACAAGTCCAGATCGCTACGGTTTTTTGTTTTGGTCCCCATGTTTGGTTTTGCCGAGGCACCGAGGCGAATGCCTGGTCGAGTAACTGGGCTTCTGGTCTTTAGCTGAGCGTTGCTCAAGTTGGGACAACGGTGGCTGCGTACGATGAGAAGAGGGCATTGCCATCGTGGGGTTTGGCAAGCTGCTCATATATGTGATCTTCATCCTGTGATCCTCAGCTTTGCGCTAACAGCATTCGGAAAATGGTATTCTGAACTCGTCAGCTTTCGCTGCTAAATAGTGGCCATTTCGGGTTTGGAGACGGCTTCACAGATGCTGGGTACACCTTTGCTTCTTCTATATAGGCCCTTGGTCAAAACATGGCTTTAGTTTCAGGATCCATATGAGAGACAGCAGGCTTGGAAGTACTAATAGATATCCAACCGCGGCCTAGTGCAAGACTCCGTCAGTCAATCAACGGTGTAGGCACGTCAGCGCTGGCAGGCTTGATCCGTGTGTGGTGGGCGCGAAAGAGACAGAGTGGAAGCGCCTAAGGCCCTGAGGTCCAGGTGACCCGCCCCAACATGTTTTGGTCCACGCAGAAGTGGGAGGGGCGAGATCTAGACTTGTGGTACGCTCGCCCTTACACCGCATCTCCAAACGGTGACCAATTTTCTGTGCCAGGTCAGGATGTAGCATTGCAGGAAAACGCACTAGGGGTCGAGAGACATAAGTTGGATTAGGTGCAGCTAAGGTCAAATTATTGATGCATCGTCAGATACGCAATAGAGGAGACCTTCATAGCTTGGTCAGAGTGCCAAGTAATCGACGTATTTTGTAGTCATCGACGGCTATATCCGGCAGCTCAGCATCCCAATAAAGTTGACCATGGTCCTCACGCATTGCACGTCTTTGCTTCCTTCGCCTGCGGGACATTGCCCCATTTGCTCACCGACTGTGTCAATGGACCCACCCCTGTTGAATCATAATTCGCTTCCATTGCAACACACTTTGCACTGGTTGAGATTGAAGCTACAGGGGCCAAGAAGACCAACAATGGATGGAATGCCAGATGCAGGCTTGCCAACAAGTGCTACCCTCTGTCGACCCCTAGCAGCAGACCATGCCGCACACGGTCTGGAAGCGCGGATCCAGATGCTGATCAGGGCTCATGCCTATCATACATCACCTTTCACCTTTAGCTACCGGCTTCACGAAGCGCCTGTATGCCTCGACGTGTCTGTAATCCTGGCCTTGACGGGCGTACATGGTTTCTCGCAGGTGGCTGAGCGTCCCTGTATCCGACACAGACTCACCAACAATTCCCCAATCAGCAGCCCCTGAGACAAATACACTGCTCTTGTAGACAGTCGGTGAATGTATCATCTCATCAGACGGCCGTGTCTCTATTGACAGCCTAGAAGCAAGCCTGAAGGCTTCTCCCCCACTACACAGCAACGCCAGTCGAACACTGGCCAGAGTCCAGGCCTACTTCCCGAAGCGTTCGGCCGTCGTTTGAATAAACGGCTTCTTGCGTTTTGTTTTGGACCTTTATCGAGCCTGGAGCATCTCGCTACCCTTGCAGAGCAATGGCGACAAGATCATCGAAAGGGGTGAGCCACCTACCAGGTATCCTCACGACAAGGACCTCATCCAGATGGCCATCGTTATAGCATTCGGTAACACGTGGCCTTACAACGTTTGATAACTCTTTAGACTAAGTTACGATTCAGTAGTGCTCAAAGAGCTAATGAACGCACACCCTGTTTCGATACAGTAGGAGTCCTTTTGGCTGGACAATATGCATATCGTACAGCTTGACAATTGCTACAAGTCATCATCTTTTATGGAACTCCCTCTCTGAGCGCACCGGCACTATGACATCGTGCACCGCAAGAGTGTTGTCCAACACGGTGTTCCTGCGGCCTCATACGTAGAGGAAGACTGCAGACTAATATTTATAGTAAATTTGTCAGTCAGCTTCCGCTGAGGGCAAGATGATGCCAGCTGATCATCGGCCTAAGTGCCTTAGGAGCGGGTGACTGAAGTGTCCGCTGGCAGGCTTGGCCCGTGTATGAGGCGCTGTCAAATGAGGGAGCGAAGGTGTTTGAGGCGACGGGGGAATTTGGTGACTACGGGGGTGTGAGGGGGGAGATATTGATTTGCAATTTGCTTTGCCTCATACCACCACGGGGCATCACTTGTTCCATATGTGAAGATTGATGTCAGCATTCGAGCTCCAGGAGGCGCTGGTCCAGCCGCACTGTCTCTATTAGGCTTACTGCCCAACCAGTATTTAAGTCAGCGGAATGTGATAAACAATATTGGAAGAGGTGTGTATTCTTGATTGCTACTTCGTGTAAATGATGCGGTGAAGTCCTACGACCTGTCGATGAAATCGCTAAGAGTTGTTACAGACGACCCAGACTACCACAAAATTGATGATAAGGAGCTGATGCCATCACCAGTGAGCTCTGTAGACTTAGTTTTGACGCGGCTCACTGGACAATAGGCGCACCTGGTGGTCCCACAATATCCGCAGGCTTCAAGTCTGACGGCTAACGCCCCTTGGCCGCATACACACTATATCAATGTCAGACTAATTTCAAGTTGAGCAAGTCGAATTTCACGCACGCACTGCCAATGGGCGACGGATTTGGCCTTGCCAGCCCTTGTATGCGGACGAAGAAGCGCCTTAACGTCTTGTCTGGTGACCGCTGCATCATCTAGGAAAACCTGATTAGCGTGATTCTCCCTCAATAGAGGAAGAAATTCGTACTTCCATGCAGTTGGTTTTTGAAAACAAGGGATGTTCATCATCGTAACAATCGTTGTGCGGACGGGGGGAAGACTTGATTCTTGCAGCTTGGACAGTCTAGAAAGATCGGGTTCGGTTTGAATGGCTCTGGGTCTTGCAATCAATTATATCATTCCACGTTACATAGAAATGACTCATTTGAATCATTACGCTCACAGCTGTACTTTGTCTGTCAATAGTGTGCCACACCGCATGTAGGCCACGACACTGCATGTTTGAGACATAAAAAGCCATTGGTCATTCGTCTTGGTGACGTTCGCCTACACTGCGCCGTTGCTCATTTACGTGGCGGAGACTGACTGCCAGGCAATAACTGACACAGCCACAGGATTGCAGGGCAGAAGAAGCGTGTATTAGCCTCGGATTTATTCCTCATCACTGAAGGCTGAAGGCTCGTTTGCGAACTCATCTCATACCGCGTAGCCGAATCCAAGACGGTTACCTGGAAGATGCGATATGCCATTGATGTTTGTGTCAAGCATCCAGACCGTTGATAAACGGTGCTGGCTGCTATGTTGGTCATCTGAATCGCCCAGCCTGAACGGCTCGATGTTCCTGTTAGTCTTCTGGAGACTGGCCCTAGGTTGCGCCTGCACCGCCAGCACGGATCATGTAGACCTGGAGAGCTCTGGCAAAACTATGTCTGCAGCTCGCAAACAGATACTCTGGAGTGTTCATGGTCTGCGTGGGTCAATGAATCCACAGAATGGAAGCCTGATGGGAAGGTTAGCAGTAATCAACCATCCGATAAGACGGCAGGTAGTTGTCAGTGGAAAGCAAAAGCGATGTATTGCGTTCTAATGCCGAGAAGGCCGTCGGCAATTAGGCTGGCTATTAACGCGCCAAGGGAAGGCTCCATGATGCACGCCGCCATCCAACCTAGAATCACATTTCGTGCTTTTCTGACATTCCCAACACCTGCACTTCAGTCAAAATTACTTCAATTGTTGCTAATGATACCGGACGCTTGAATTTCTGATCTGCTACTGCATCTATTTTACGGGAGAGGATGTCATGCCATCGGGACAGAATGATGGTTGAAGGACGTGAGTCTGCCCAATTTTGCAAGGTCGCTTCCCATGCCAGGGCTACCCAACGAATGCTTTCCCCGACATCATTCTAGATCCTGCATCGCAGATAGATACGTCGAGCAATGAACAACGCTTATGTGTTCAGGTCCCAAAACATCTTTCATACCCGGCAGATGCCTGGTCCACCAAGTCTTTGCTTCGACCCATCTTTCCAGCGAGAAATAGATCAGTCCTAGATTGAAGCAACTGATCAATGTAGTCGGATGACGTTCTCCTACATTTTTCAAAGCCCCGTCGGTTGCTTCCTCCATTAGAGGTAGCGCTTCATCCGCCTTGCCTTGTTCGTAGAGGGCCATGGCGAGATTGTGTATGGACCTGATGGTATCAGGGTGCTGTGACCCCAGGTTCTCCATTCTCGCATTTATGACCAGCCTGAAATAGCCCAGAGCCTGCTCTGACCACGCGGTGTTCCTCAACACCAAGGCAAGTTCGGCCACGCCATCGACGAAGATGCTGTGATTTTCATCCACCGCTTTACGTGCACGGCTGAAAAATTCGTCCGCGAGCTGTCTTGCCTCTTCATATTTCTTAGTTTGCCCATAGGAAGTAGCAAGGTTGATCATCGACCGCAGAGTCTCAGGATGGTCGTCTCCAATCGTGTTTCTTCTGGCATCCAGGATTCGAATCTGCAGTTCCTCTGCTTTCCCGTCTTGTTGATCCTGACGATATGCCAACGCCAAGTGGGAAAGACATGTCAAGGTGTAGTAATGATCTTTTCCCAGTGCCCGCTCCATCTCCGCGTGGCATGATTCTCCAAGTCTGATCGCATCCCGATACCGACCTTGACGATAGGACACATAGACTAGGAAACACCTGCCGATCAGCGTTTGATAGTGTTCTCCCCCAAGGTGCTCCGTCCCGAGTTCGACGACTTGTCCAAGCAGTCTTTCCGCTTCCGCATACCGTCCTTGCTTCTGATGCGTTTGCGCTAGGGCGGCCATGCAGCCTAGTGTCCTCGGATGACCCTGACCTGCCCTGTGCGTCCATTGGTTCAACAATCGCAGCAGAATCTTCTCTGCTTCTTCGTGACGATCGAGGCTCTGAAGAGCCTTGGCCCAAAGCTCCTCGATGATCAACGTTGTCTGACCATCATTGCCAAGATTTCGCTTGGATATGGCCGCACTGGAGGACAGCAGTTGCTCCGCAACATCCCAACGACCTTGCTGAAGATACACGGCCGCCAGATCGGCTGTAGAATCGAGTGTATCAGGATGGTGTGACCCTAAGACGCGCGTTCTTGCTGTTCTCACTTCCGTGAAGATAGTCTTTGCCTCGTCAAATCGATGCTGATCGTAGAAAATGGTTGCCAGGTCGTTTTTGAACCTAAGCAAACGAGTATCGTCGCCTTCCAATGTCTTCTCTCCTTCCTCTATTACCCTCTTCATCAACGTCTCGGCCTCCTGAAATCGACAGGCCTCTTTGTAGGTCAAAGCAAGCAGACGCTGACACTCATACCTTAGAGGATTGTCTCCAGCTAGGTTCTTCCAACACGGCTCGGATAGCAAAAATTCGGACTGTGCATAGTTTCCTTGCTTGTGGAAGATTCTCGCGAGGTCGAGCATGCAAGTTAGTGTTTTGGCATGATCTTCGTTCGGATGCCGTCGCATGACTTGCAACACCTCGTAGCACAAACACTCGGCAGCTTTGAGATCCGGGATTTCTTGCAGTGCTCGATAGAGCATCGTCTTGCAGTCGAGAATGAATGGGTGGCATTCCTCGACGCGGTCTCCCACTGCCATGAGCAGGCCTTCCAAAGCAGTCTTCGCCTGCTGCCACTCGCCGCGATTGCCCATCAACAGGCATTCGTTGAACTGGGCAAACGACGCTTTGTCAATGTCAGTCTCATAGGACAGGCCTACGGTAGTCGTCCCATTTCTACCGTTGCCGTTATTATCGAGCGATACGGAATCGGGTTCTTGTGAGTTCGATTTTGCCATCGTGAGTAGCATTGCGTTCGGTGTATTGGTCTTCGAAGAGCGACTGGTCGGCCGTGGCATAAGCGTCTTTGTCAATTGTAAGCAGGAAACTCTGGCGTTGCAAATTATACGGGCTATGATGGCCATTTATGGGTGCCGCATTCCACAGGTTACCAGATGATTAGCCAACATCGCTGTCTCGTGAAGTCCAAGATAAGAGCCAGTCGTTTCACCCCGGTGCTGACGGACTACCCCGTCTACCCTCCTGCATGACGGTGGAATCAGTCGGCCACCCCTGCACGCCACTCACAGAGCACATCCTGCACACCCCCCGACATCGTCACCGCAAGTTCTGACGCATGTTGAAGAGTTTGTCCGGATAATGTTGCGTTCCGCCGATATGTATCAAATGAGGTTCTCGCTAAGTGGCAGGCGGCTTGTGAACATGCTGGCAAATGATGGCAAATACGAAGGCAACCTGACACGTTCGCGGTCAGGGAGCTGCTGGAATACAACACCGAGACAAGCCTCTGCCAATAGTCTCAATACAACCCTGTCTCTGACAATTCCCTGTGCCTTGTAGGGCCACAACTCAGGCCTTGTGCTGCACATGAGTCTTGATCAGTCACGACAAAAGCTTACTAAGATGAATGTCGGTGAACCTCGCCTTTTGAAAGGATTGTGAGACAACGAAAGAGCGCCTGCCACGAATAGTATGCTCTGCGGCAGGGTCAATGCTGACCTCGCGCTACCAACTGTGTCTAACTGGCCACGTAGGTGCTGTTTGTGACACGAGGCGCGCTGGGATTCTGTCCCAAACCGAGCAGCAGTGCCGTTTGGATGAGTCAGACAGCGGGCGCACTACAGTCTACGAGCATGCCTACGGCCACGAGCCATTTGATTTTCCCCGAAGGCTGTAGCCTGATGTTCTCTTCCAGCGTGCTAATCTGGTTTTCTGGTTCCATGTGCGGAAGCTGGAAACACACGTCACCTAGCATTAAGACTGTGGAGAACAACGATAGGTCGTAGTATATCGTCTCTCCTGCCTCACGTCTGAGCTGAAATGTACCACGGTGTTCGCAACATCACACCTGCTTTACTTCATAATAAGCAGCGGTGGGATCTAGCACAACAGCCGTTGAACTTATCATGGATCATCTCGAAAATCCTTTGTATTTTAATCGGGGTTATCATGTCATTGACTACTTCACGAATTTGAGGTTCTTCTACGTCATGATCCGGACACAGACGAGACTGGCATCTCCCTTGATGTCAATGTTGGGTGCTCCAACAACGACAAGGACATGCCCAGCATGACCCACGCCGTGGAGCACGCATGATGCCCAGACGTCGCAGATTCTTACACGCTGATGCACTGTGCGAGTATGGTAGAAGGAGGATGACGTTTTTAACGTCCCCAAAGCCACGTTTATGGTCAAATTTTGGCATCAGGATATTTACTCGACCCCCCAAGATGCTGTCACAAGTAAACTACTCGTCGACCTCGTGATGGACCATTTGTACACTGTCGTACAAAAACGGAACCGTGATTGCCGGTCAGCGATTACGCCTTATTTATCACACACAAGATACTTTCACGCCACACTTACAGGTCTTCGATCTGGCCTTAGGCGTTCCAACCACGGGCTACTACTCAGCATTTCTGGGTATAAGGCGAAACTCCATGTTCTCTTGGAGCACGTTCTCGACACTGTGGGTCATAGAGAGTGTTTCAAGACGAGATTTGACGTGATCAAAGAGAACCTAACCCTAGAGTACCAAAATGGCGAGCTGGACGAGCCCCATGAGCAGGTTGGGTACCTTACGGGGTGCCTAAATTCCGGGCCCCGGCACGCCGTTGAAACGCTTCGGGCGAGTGTGTGGAGCGTTATCATCGACGACGTTCGCCATTTCCGGAAGAAGTTTCTGGCGCCAATGCATCTTGAGATCTACGCACATGGCGATCTGCAGATATGTGAGGCTGATCGCCTGGCAGACCTGGTTGCGGCGACTTTGAGGCCGCTGAAATCACTCGAAACACAGCAGCCTGTCTCTCAATCCCTGATCATACCTAAGGGATCGGAATTCCTTTATGAGAAGACGCTGAAGGACCCGGACAATGTCAGCCACTGTATCGAAATGTTCATATACGTTGGTGATAACAGCAACCGATCGAAGAGGGCCAAGGCGATGCTCTTACCTCAGATGGTACGAGGACCCGCGTTCGACCGGCTACGAACCAAGGAGCAGTTGGGATATGTGGTCGACAGCGACTTCCGAAGTTTCTTTTCTACCTGCGGTATAAGCTTCAAGATTCAGAGCCAGCAGAGAGCGGCCTACCTCGAGTCAAAAATCGAAGAATTCTTACGCTTCTTCTTTGATGACCTGGAAGGCATATCCAAGACCGACTTCCACAAACACCAGCGAAGTTTGATTCTTAGATGCCTTCAAAAGCCTAGGAATCTCGCACAAGAGAGCGAGTGGATCTGGGGACAGATCGAAAGCAAATATTATGATTCTGAAGGCCGTGAGTTTACTTCTTCACGTCACGCCTGATTGAGAGCTCATTGGTTTCCAGGTCGCAAAGACGCGGAGTGCATTAAGACGTTCACTCAGGATGACATCGTCGAATTCTGTCGGTAATACATGAAGCCAGGGTCTCTGACACGAGGGAAGCTTTCGGTCCACCTTCTTGCACGAGCAGACGGTTCGGAGAAGACAAAACTCGATATGTCTACCACGTCAAACTCAACCCGCTTCACTGATATTGA